TACATTTGTAAAATATGTATTTTCTTTGTTCTTTCATGCAAAATACTACCATTAAAATTCATAATCGATTAATCTTATTTATTACAAAATCCTCGTATATTCAATACAACACACTAATATTGCAGTTTCATATAAGCTATCAAACAAAACAGCTATCACGTTGCAGCTGCTTTTATATCGTCGAGAGGCCGGGGAGGCGTCGTAAGAATGACAAGCTCATCGTTATTGGTTACTTTAATGGATCGTAAAGCATTGGGCTGGCAGCTATAACAGCAACGGTCTACTACTCCTCCAGACCTGTGCAGAGTATGACCTTCTGATCACAAACACCACCTTCCGCCTCCCTTACCCGTAAAAAAACAACATGAATGCCCCCGCGCTCAAAGCACTGGCATCGCTTGGACTATGTCATCGTCAGGACGGGGGAAGGGAGGATGTACGAGTCACGAAGGCTATGTGTGGCGCAGAGTGCTTGACAGCCATGGCCTCATCGTCTCCAAGCACAGGTTTCACGTCCAGCCCAAGAGACGACCTACAACCTCCGGCGCTTCCCCACTACTCAGTGCAGATGGATTAACACTGATCCAAGACAAGGAGAAAATCCTCGAGAGCCGAACACTTCGACAGCGTACTGAGCCACCCGTCCACCATGAACAACGAAGCTATTGATCGGCTACTTCAGGTTCCGTTCAAACGCTAGACGCCATACCCACTCTGGAAGGGACTCAGAAAGCCATACGTTTGCTATCTAGTGGCAAAGAACCTGGCTCAGATGCCACCCCAGCCGAAATCTATAAAGAGGGCGGTTTGCCACAAGCGGACTAACTCTTCCAGCTTATATGGCAGTCACACAAGACTTCAAAGACGCTTCCATCATGCATGTATACAATTAACGCAAGGGAGATCGTCAGGCATGTGGTAACCATCGTGGAATCTCCCTTCTTTTCATTGCAGACAAGACCCTGGCCAGAGTTCTGCTTAACCGTCTTATCGCCTACCTTGAGCAAGATCTTCCATCAGAAAGCCAGTGTGGCTTCCGGAAAGAACGCGGGACTATCGACATGGTGCTTGCAGCTAGATAGCTTCAGGAACAGAGCACCAACCTGTACTCCCCCAGTGTCGATCTAACCAAGGCCTTTGACACTGTTAGTTGAAAGGGTCTTTGGAGAATCATGGCGAAGTACGCATGCCCCAGAAAGTTCATCGCCATCGCTCGACAATTCCACGATTGGAATCCTTGCAGAGTCAAAGTCTACAACGGAGTAAAGAAGGGCTGTGTCCTCGCCCTACCTGATGCCTGATGCATTCAGAGACTGGGACATAGGAATCGGCATCAGGTACCGAACGGATGATTCAGTCATCATTCTCAGGAGGCTTAAAGCGAAAACCAAGGTTTCTACAGACACCATCAATGACTTCCTGTTCGCAGATGACTGTGCTCTCAACACTGCCTCAGAAGCCGCTTTCTTATTCTTGCAACAACTTCAGCCTGACATTCAGTAGGAAGAAATCAAAAGTGATGCATCAGCCAGCCCGAGGTAAACCATACGTCGTGGCAGCTCTCTGTCCATTGTCATTGTCATTGACGATGAGGTGAATGCCAGACTTGTAAAAGGGAGCGTCGCATTTGGCAGACTCTACAAGAATGCTTGGAACAGAAGAGGCATCACTATAGAGACAAAGATAAAGGTGTACTGGGCCATAGTTCTCTCCACACTGCTCAATGCCTGCGAAACATGGACGGTTTATCAGCGTCATGCCAAGAAGCTAAACCACTTTCACACTACATGTCTCAGGAAACTCACTGGTATAAAGTGGCAGGACAAGATCCCGGACACAGAGTTGCTTACTCAAGCTGGCCTACAGAGCATCTTCACCATCCTGATGCCGTCATGTAGTTCGTATGCCAGACCATCGGCTGCCAAAAAAACTTCTGTTTGGCGAACTACATGCAGGGAAACGCTCTCAAGGTGGCCCGAAGAAGCTTTACAAAGACACTCTCAAGGCTTCTTTGAAGGCCTTCAACATAAGCCACACCATATGGGAGCAGACAGGTCAGGACAGAGACGGATGGCGAGCGGCAAACCCGCGCGCCCCAGGACGACTAGATGGTCCTAGTCGAATCGACGGACAAACAACACACGGGACCACAAGTTATGCATAGCCTACCTATTGTTTAAGTCAATAAACCATCTATCTATCTATCTATCTATCTCTATTGTTTCGCCCTAATATCTCGATTTGATCAAATATTCAAATATTAAATCTGTGGAATTCTGAGCGTTCTGAGGGCAATCAATGAAAGACCTTATACCCTGTATAGACCCCCCCTGTCCATCAACACGAAACTTAGTATCTTCAACTCCAATGTGAAAAGTGTCCTCTATACGGCAGTGAAACTTGAAGAGTGCTGAAGTCGTCGATGTCCAAATTACAAGTCTTTGTGAACCGCTGCCTCCGCCAGATCCTTGGAGTGCGGTGGTACGACAGGTTGAGTAATGAAGAGCTGTGGAGAATAACATCCCAGGAGCCAATCGAGCAACAAATCAAGAGACGCAAGTGGCGTTGGCTCGGACACACGCTGAGGAAACCTGCAGACAATGTCACAAGAAGAGGGCTACGGTGGACACCCCAAGGGAAGCGCAAACGAGGACGGCCGAAGACCACCTGGCGGCGCTCAACGGAAGCCGAAGCGAAGGCCGCTGGCCTGACGTGGGGACAGCTCGAGCGGAAGGCCCAGGACAGAAGGGGATGGCGTTCTCTGGTGGACGACCTATGTTCCGTACGGAACGACTGGAACTAATATATACTAATATATAATGAAAGACCTTATAAACATTGTTATAGCATTCCCTAGGCCAGTTAAATAATCTAGAAACTCCTTTAGTGTCACTACGTGTCACTTATAAAACTATGTCACGATGTGCTCTACATAGATTCTGTGAAATTCGTGTTTTAGCTGGTGTTCAGGTTGTCATGACCGCAATGAAACCAATAAATTGCAGTTTATAGCGTCACCCTATGTTACGTAGTTTATAAAATGTGTTTCTTTGATTCGTGATTTTTTTAGGACTCTAAGAAGGAAAAAGAGGAAGATGAAATCAAGGACGAATCAAAAAATACAGAGGGTAATTTCGTGTATAAAATCTCCTCACCTTCAATTTTGGATAATATATATATATATATATATATATATATATATATATATATATATATATATATATAGCCTATATATATATATATATATATATATATATATATATATATAGCCTATATATATATAGCCTATATATATATAGCCATATATATATATATATATATATATATATATATATATATATATATATATATATATATATATATATTTGACAACCTTAATTATTCGCAAAATATTAGATTCAGAATGACATGAAATAAATGTGTATAATATATCCCAAACTACACTCTCAAATTCTACATGTTATTTAGGCCACAAATTAACAACAATTAGGCGGACCAGGCCAGACTTGAAACCAAAACCAAAAACCCTCAAATTAGGCAATATTTTGAGTGATTATGGAAAAGGAACCCCTGGAAAAACTCAAGAAAAGGTAGATCTCTTTATATATAAATTTATATATAACCGTACGTCCTGTGTCCCAAGTGCAGGAGTCACCATTGCCCTCTGGTGATAGCTGGAAGGGCACACATGTTATATAATATATATATATATATATAAATATATATATATATATATGTATGTATGTGTGATATATATATATATATTATATATATATTAATATATGTATGTATGTGTGTATATATATATATATATATATATATATATATATGCAGGAGTGGGGCAATTCGTAAGGTAGAAACTTTAGCACAGACTTTCGAAGCATTCGAAATTGTCTGCGGCATTCCCTCTCAGCCATATCTGAACATCATTTACATGATTGCAAGAATATTGCGTCTCCCCTTTATTAAAACTCGATGTCAAGTCAAGAACGGGGAGCTGGTCCACAATTATAATTTAGTCTTGCAGAATTTCAATGTTTGCACGTTTATTGTAAGAAATTTAGCCCCTGCAGTTGATAAAAGCTAGTTTGTCTTGTTTGTAATGCACATGTTCATAAACGCTGAGAATAAAGCTAGAAGCCTAGAAAGGTAGTCAAATGTATCGGAGAGTCACACTTCCCATGTAATTGAAAAATACTTTAGGCCCGCGGTTTGAAAAGACACCATGTAATCAGCCCCTCAATCTTTGTAATGTTCTCTGTATGGAATTTTAATACATTTCGCTAGAGCGCATGAAACAATCATCATAATAATAAAGAGAACTCAAAGCTTTTTTCAGTTATATCTGTTATACAGCGCAAAGATAATTAATGCCTGCATCTGTCTTTGTTTTTAAGATAGCCTACTTAACTTTTAGCAAATATTTATTGTATCCTCAATTTAAAAATATTATCTCATACTATCTTATGTATTTGGTAAAAAAAATATGGTAAAAATCTTTTGTTTCCGAAACAAAATTTTCCTTTTACGACCCAACATATTTTCTAATATATTTCAAAGGCATTTGAGGTGATAGCGAAGGCTAAAGAGGAGGATGAGAAGAAACGAGAGAATTTGGAGAAGTTTTATTTCGAGATTGAAGAGTGTGTCGGGCAATTGGATGTTTACACGATTCCGGTTCTAAATGTCTACTATGGCGATCGTAGTATTTTGAATGTTTTGGCAGAACAAAGGCGACGCTTAGCGAACACAGAGTATAACATTCTTATTGCAGGTACTCAAGGTTAAGGTGGTGGGGCAGGTTGATCACACCCCGATTAATGCTAACCGGCATTACAATGAAACATTGCATAAAATCTCTTCACTATTTTTTTTTAGGTGAAAGTGGCGCCGGAAAAAGTAGTTTAGTGAATCTTATTCTCGGAGAAGAGCTTCTTCCACATCACGTTCTTAATACCACTTCCACAATATGCAAAGTAAAATATGGGAAGGAACGAGTAATGATTGCTCACTATAAGTACGATGAACGATTAGGGGTGCGACCCATGCCTAAATTCCAAAGGTTGAAAACAAAAGAAGAATGTGGCAAAAATTACTGCGATCAAATTGCTCCCTTCGTGCAAATGAGTTCCGACGAGCGAGAAAAGGGATCCCGACATACTAGAGTAGAAATCTTTTGGCCGCATGAATTACTTGAGGTGAACCTTTTCATTTCAAATTATTAAGTATGAATACTTAGAATTTTCTGTGTTTGACAATTGGCGAAAAAGTATAGGATTTCAAAATGGTCCATCCGTTCCACAACACATGAACATATGGTTATTGTTAAAAAACGTGGAAGATAATTAACATAGATAATATAAATTAGTAGGCGAATAAAATTCGGGATTAATAGAACGAAAAATCGTAATATTTTGTAATGCAGTACAGCCAATGAAATAAATCCTCCTCTCGATCAATCAACATCCAGTAACTTTATCATGCTAATAATAGGTTATAATACCTAAAATATTTCACAGTACATTGAAAGACAATTATGATTACTTGCTTTCAAAGTAATGCAGATAGATTACGGTACTTATTGTATATATTCTATACTTTAGGAAGGTGTTGTTATTATTGATAGTCCAGCCCTGGGTGAAACGGATGAAATGGATGAAGTTTTAATGAATTATCTTCAGAATGCTCTTGCGCTTATCTATGTTCTTGACACTTCCCGTGCTGGAGGAGTACAACAAGATATCAAAGAAAAGGTAAAACCTACGAATGATTTAATTTCATATATAATTCCTAATGTAATTACTTGATTTTTGACTTGAAACGACTGGTTGAAGTCGAAGACGTAGCATCGCTGAGGCATAACTGATATACTCGTTATTATTGTAGCTAAAGACCATCTTAAAAAAGGTGAAGTCCTCCGATGCCGGCGTTGAGACCCTTCAACATTTAGCCGAATGTTCCCTTTTTATCTGCAATAAATGGGATCAAGTAGAAGAGGATGAAAGGTCAGAAACGAAGAAACATGTCGTCGCAAAGTTAAGAGAGTGTTGGGAAGATTCAAATTTAAATCATCAAATGGTGTACATGTCAATAAAAGACGCCATCAAAGCACAAGAGTATGGCGGACTCACTGAAGAGTTCAGCGATTTGCTCAAAAAAATAGAGACGCTGGTATTGAGGGCAAGGAATATCAGTCTATACAATCAATGGCAGTAAGTATGCTACAATTTAACGATGAATTTACGAGTTTGATATTTTCATATGATAAACATCACAAGTAATCTGATTATTTTATAAAGTCCATAGTAAGAAGCAATATTTCCTAATACTTTCGACAACTTATGCTCGAAAAACACAAAAAGACGATTTTGTGGTACAAGGCTCGGTATCTATTGATCAAAAAATCAATGAGTAGCGTAGCCCATCTGAATGTAGGTATTGCAATAGTATCCTTTTTATGAAAGAGTTCCCAAGTTAAATGGGATATATGATAAAGATTTTACATTCTTAATTTTTGAGTGCAGTAGAGATTTAATACCCTATTAGGCATTGTTTTAAAAAAGAACTATTTCCTTCCAGGTGGTTGTATACGTTGCTGTATAATATTCATAGAGTAACGTATTTCTTCAGCCAAGAAATACAATCATCTCACGAAACAACTCGTGAAAAGATGGAATTCATCATTAAACGCATAGAAAAATTGAAAAACAAGAGCAAGAGGTGAAAAAGGACATGGCAGAAAGAGTGGAATATCACACAAAAGTTCTCCTCGCCAAACTTGAAGAATATATACATTCGATGGATTTCAAAACGAAGTTCTGTACTTGGGATAACGGTGCATTTCCCCCGCATGGAATAACTTGGGAAGTAACAAGAAGCAATGTCAACATGGCAATTGATAACCGATTCAAAGAATTGCTTATTGAGTGGGAGAATGACCATCAAGTTTATGCTGAAATTCACAGGCAGCTTCTGGACGAATTCCGTACAAGGTTTGGCACATTGTGTGCATTTGAAAAAAATTAAAGATGCATGTATATAAAAGTTTGAGCTATCCCCTTCAAAAACATGATTCCAAACGAAATTCTTCTTTTGTTAGTAAATCTAAATCATGGTAGGATATAAATCATTATAGTTGTAGTAGTTTGTAGTCTTTCCTGTAAAGAAATGTTCATCCTGATGTTCGTCTCAAACTATAAAGCGCCTCATATCGTTTGCCCAAACTATTTTTATCTATATCTATCTATCTAGATTTCTCTAACTATTGTTGTTATTGAATGATATATATAATAATCTTTTTGAAAGGCTGAATCTTTTGGAAGAGGAACTTCAAGGTGTTGACAAGGCGATGCATAGTGTGGAAAGACAAGCTGATTATTTGAAGAATCGAAGTAAAATTTCGACAACAACCAAAGTTATCTTCGGTGCAACGAGCCCTCTTTGGATTCCCTTTGGTGTGGCGGGGTTGGTGATTGGTATGCCTGTTTTGGGAGCAATGGCGGTAAAACGCAAAGTAACTATAAGAAAGAAGTTTGACAATTACCAAAACAATCCGCGTGACTATCTGAAAAAAGAATCTGAAAAATATCTGGAGCGACTGCCAAAAGAATACGTGTTAGAATATGCCAACGCCAGATGGAGAACACCAAAATGGTGCTATCAAAAATGGAGATCAAATTCCCATCCTGATCGAGGCTGATCGCAAACTGGTGACGCAATTAATTAATGATACCCGAAGTCAGGATGAAATATTGAAACTGTATGACCCAATTCAGAAGAAAAGCAGCGAGATGATAAATAAAATCCTACCGTGGGGAATCGAGGTTTGTCCAGAAACAATAAATGCCAGTGATCTTGAATGGAAACGAGACATGAATTCATTGATTGGAGAGGGAGAGAGTTCCACAGTGTTCAAGGGGAAGTTAAGTTGTCCCAGACCCAGATCGCAGACTTCTAAAATGGAAGTGGCAGTGAAAGTATTCCAACATCCATTTGATGAAACGAATTCAAAATTCTTTCTGTACGAAGAACTGAAGATCAGGTAGGTAGCTATATTATAAGCAACCATGCATGTCAGGTCGGCACCAATACACTGATATACATGCAAGGTGTATAAAAAAAACGCGAGAAACTCCAAGGCTATCATTACTTGTTTATGTTATCACTCTGCAAACATATTGATTGAAACGCTAGCTGTGTTGGTAATTTGCAAGAGCAATTCGCCCACTTGTAAATCTTCCTTACTTTTCGAAATATCTAGACCTTTTTTTAATCTAGGGATTTGCATCATGAAAACGTTCTCAAGTATTTTGGAGCAACCCGAATTTGTACTCCTCGTTCATCATACAAGTACAAATTCATATTCGTAATGCAAGCAGGTCAACAAAATCTAAGAAGTGCCATTTTCCGTGACCGAACTCTAACACCTGCAGAATCTGAAAACTCCAAACTAGCAATTGGCAAGTTCATTAAGAGGGCGATGGACATAGCAGCTGGTCTAAACTACATTCACGAGAGAGGACTCATCCACAGACATCTCAAGCTTGAAAATATTTTGGTTGGTAACATATATTTCTCTGAAACTTTCACCTTGACTCATTGTTTATTGTATGTATAACTTGTCAAGACTGAGGCTTTTACTAATATTCACATTTTATATTATCAACGTTTCAAACAGTTTCACACACAAAAACATCTTAATTTACAAAGTAAACTATTTAAAACATTAATCTCTTGCCCTGCAGGAAGGCGAAGATGGGACAGCGATGATATCTGATGTTGGGATTGTGGGTCGATTTCTGAAAATACCGAAAAGCATCACCCATCTTGCACCCGAGGTGCTTGAAGACCTCACGAATCGTACAAAAGAAGCAGATATCTACAGTTATGGTATTGTGTTGTGGGAGATGTGGTATGCCACCCAGGCGTTCAACGAAATTATGCCTATCGAAAACGTCACCGATTTCCGAGAGAAGCTGATTGAAGGGTATCGTCCAGAGATAGACAAGAACAAAATCCACATACCAAAAATACATGATGTCATAGCGGCAAGCTGGGCTACTGAGGTTGAAAAAAGATGGTCCATGAAAAGGTGCTACGATGCATTTTCGGAAATGACAGAATGGAGAATGGAACGTCCAAATAAACAAGACGCATTAGTTTAGCCGGACAGAAGGCCGATATATAGTAAGAACATATAGCCTGGTATCAACATAGATACACGTAGATAAGCATAGACGACATGTACACAGTTTAGGTATTTTTATTGATATAAATTGAACGTTTTAATTGAAGATAAAACGCAAACTTCATAACACATTAATTTATAGCAATGGCATTAATAGTAGTTATTCAAAAGATACTCACGATACAGCAAATAAGTATCGATTGCAGTGTAGTAGTGTGTGCATTTTTAAATATATGTAAACTTTTTCAATTCTTCCTGATATATTAAAAGAATGGTAAACTCAGGAATGGTGGAATAGATAGGGAAGGAGATCCGAATCGTGGCTTGGAGGTTGGGGTGAAAGTATTCAATTTGACAATCATTGATAATCTAAATTCAAGATTTTACTTGTATGAAGAAGCGACGGTTAGGTAGGTTTTATGAGACATCAGTTCTATCATCATAGAAGGGGACTCACTATATACCACTTATTAACCGAATCTGAGGTCCGTACTAGAAAAATATCAGACCGAGGTCTTGACAGTACGGACCGAGCGATAGCGAGGTCCATACATAAAAGACCGAGGTTTGATATTTTTCCAGTACGGACCGAACGTATTCGGTTAATAAGGGATTTATTATATGGCATACAGTATTTAGTTTATTTATTTATACAATGCGTTGCAGCATCCTGCCAGCTCTTTCGCCAGCCGGTCGCCAAGCAAGCACTGAAGCGGCTTCCAAAACTTTGTTTTTTACTCGTTAAATGAGAATGATACAGTAATATAAACAAAAATCAAAGATGAATAAATGTAATATTCACATGTACCAAATAATGCTCTTCTTCGTCCATTCTTCGCCGATATTTTTCGTGTCAAAAATGAAAGTGCAAGCTTGTTTTTGTTCAAAAATATGAGAGTTGGACCGTTACTACGGCAACGGTCTAATACTGGGGGATTCCAGAACGGCAAAGAACCAATCAGCGCACGCCATTTTAGTCACGAGACCGCGTGCCATATAATAAATCTATTTATTGAATCCGGCCAAAACGATCAGACTGAAACGAGAAATCATGGTGGCAACCCAGCACTTTTCTTACCTTCAACCTTGTTGTTTTCAATACTGTAAGTATAGCATTTAATGTTGACAGAGAAGAAGAAGTAAACCTTTTCGGTACAACCAACATGTTCAACCACCTTAAACATATTCGTTATGTTGAGCTTTACACATTTGCTGCAGGTATTTGAAGCACGAAAATGTGGTCAACGTTTTTTGGAACAGCGCAGGTGATTATTTCGCCCTATGTTAATGATTACACGTTTATATTCGTGATGGAATTGTGCAAGGAGAACCTCAGAAGTTTGATTCAAAAAGACGAGAAAAAACGCCAGCAGAATATTCGTCTATCGACCAAGCAATTCAGACGTTTTTAAAATGGGCGAAGGAGATTGCAAGAGGGTTAAACTACATCCATGAGATAGGCTTTGTTCATAGACACTTAAAGCTGGAGAATATCTTGGTAAGTATGCTTCACTTGACATCGGTTGAGTAGCTACAGTGATCACGAGTGTCGTATGATTAAGATTATTATTTCCCGTATTATATATCCCATCTCAATAATTCTCAAATGACCTTCACTCTAATGGACCACTTGCATAATAGACCAACTTCGGGCCAACTGAGGTAAGCATGCCTTATTTTGCACCTGAGGTAGTGGAAGACCTGACAAATCGCACGGAAGAAGCAGACATCTACATTTATGATATTCTGTTGTGGGAGATGTGGTATAGCACCCAGGCGTTCAAAGAACTTATGCCCATCGACAAGGTGACGTTCAAAGAAAAATTAGCTGATAATTATCGTCCAAAGATCGACAACACAACGATTAACATTCCAGCAATGCATGTTGTCATGGTGAAGAGCTGGGCGACTGAGATAAAAGAAAGGTATTCTGCTAAAGAATGCTACGAGATATTTCACGCTAAACCTCGTTCGATTCATCTGAATTGGAGCTGGTTCTCTGAAGACTGAATAGCTTGAAAATTATTACAAACATTATTACTGTCGAAAGGACCACTAGAATGCGTATTCATTATAGCATAGCTCTTATACGACGAAGAATGCAGATAAGTATCGGAGACCAGAGGATTTGTTAATTACCGTAGTTGGTAGTTTACATGAAGTATTCATATCTACGCGTATACATGCATATTGCTATACAATAGATATAAGTCGTTTTCAGAATTTGTTGACGAACATATAGATTTACCTAATCAATTTAGCATGACCGTAATTGATAGTTGAAATGGTTATTAGTGTCAGTAAATGAAAAGGTGATACGGATCGAAAACAGTTGCAAGCAGAATTTATAGATTTAATAAAATTATCCATCAAAGATTTGCATTCTTTCTTATGACGTGTAAAACCAGTGATCCACGCAACACAATATCTGGTGCATCACCAGTATCGCAAAAAATTAAAACGTTCACTGCACGCTGGAATAGCTTCGCCCGCTACGAATGATATTTTGCTAAGCAGAAAGCTCTAGTGTGCCGGGTTTAACGTTATTAACTTCTGACAATTGCGATCAAGAAGATAAAGCACTTAGTGCAGATCCAAAAGAGCAATTCTTATCATTCCTTTTAATAATTTGAGTACAAATTATAGGGTGAACTTTTCCGAGATAACGATCGGATGAATAAATAATTTTACTTTGTTTAGCAAAACAGACTTCAAATATACCTCAATCTGAAATATATTTTCTGATATGTTTGTTGCTGTTTGGTGTGTTCCAATGTCCCAAAACACAACCTCAAAACTCATGATGCAATTGCGATTGATTAGACATTTTTCAATAGTTTTTAAAATACAATACCAGCTTTCGTAATTTATGCAATAATTAATTAACAGCGCTGTGGGATATTACCACTGCATGTAAAGATATCTTTAGAAATTAAACTTCGTTTCCAAGTATTGCATGATTAAATAAAATTATTGATTAATGGTACACAAGAGGTAACCGAAACAGCTTCGACGTGTAGTTCTTGTTCTTTTATGGAAACTTTCAGGCAGGTATGTTCGATAATTCCTACGAGGTATTTACTGCCCTTGCGGTGTTTAATAGCAGTGTAAAAGGCAGGATATTTCTGTAGGTTTTCTTAATGAAACCATACTTATTATGCATGGGTCGGTGGTTCAAAGACAGATTTTGTACAATATAGTTCCGAAGCACAGAAAACATCATAGAATTTAGGTCTTAATGTATTGCTACAATAAAGCAGTAAAATGGCTACGTGGTATTGAAGCACATCGTTGAAGTAACAATAATACAATTAGCTGAAAGCTTTCAGTGAGTTCAAAAAGAAAGACTCAATAATGATTCTTTATTCTTATTTATTTTCATAATACACTGGACAAACTAAAATTCTCACGCTTAAGAGAACTTACACTCGTTTCTTATAATCATGCGGCTGTCCAGTGTTACTTGGACAGCAGCATGGCAGTGACGGATCGTATTGCCTGTTCAAACTGGT